GATGGTTTTTAGTGGCGTATCTCTTCTCTCTTATTCTCTTCTTCTTCTACTGTTTCTATCTTTGTCTATTTTACACATAGATTTTACATATTGTCAATCTATATTACAACATGCACTAGATTCTTCTAAAAATTAATGACGCAGTTTAAATATGAGAATGATTTCACTTTTGAATTTTAAATTTAAACGACATATTTATTATACGGATTATTCAATTATTTTTATAAAATATTTTGAACTGAGTAACAATGGAATATTTAAGCTGGAATTAATTACTAATTACTACTTTAAATAAATAATTTATCTTTATATATACAAACAAACAACAATTTAATGGGGCAGTGCAGTTAGATAGGAAGTAGGAATGAATTCTCTTTTTATTAGTAGCTAGTAAATAAAATCCCGCGTGCAAATAGAGAATATCCATTTGAAACTAAATAAAATCCAAAAAAAAGAAAAAGAAAAATTGAGCCTACTCGTAGCCACGTATGCAAATCTTATCCACTCCTCCACATCACTTTTTAAGTTTTTTCCCCGTATCACTCTTCATAATTAAAACAATCTCCTTTTCCCCTCTTTCGCTATCAATCCGCTCCCCCATCAAAACCTAAAAATCCATTAATGGCGACAACCGCATTTTCCTCTCTCCGCAACCCGATCTTCCCCTCCGCCGCTGCTCCCAATCCGCGCGGCCGACAGCGCCCTCCGGCGGCGGCGCAATCGAACGGCTGGTGGGCTCCGCTCTTCGGCTGGTCGCCAGAACCCGACTACATCAACAGCGGCCTCAAAATCGAGTCGGATCAGACCGATCCGGGCCAATCCGAGATCGAATCGGTTCGGATCCGCCCGGATAAGAACGTCTTCCGCGGTTGCTTCACTGAGGAGAAGGCAAAGGAGCTTCGCAGGAAGACGAGCGAGTCCTCGACATTTCACGATGTGATGTACCACTCGGCCATCGCATCCAGGCTCGCGTCCGACGTGTCCGGCCGCCGGGATCGTTGACTCTCCAGGTGAGAGGACCGGTCAGACACTTTAATCAGTATGAATACTATAAATCTGTCGACTATGAAGAAATTTGTATTTCGTTTGATTTTCAGTTCATCTCGAATTTGTAGAATTAAATAAAATTATAATTAAAAGACTCTTAGTATGGAATGTAGTTTTTTTTTTTTATTATGTGGGTAATGGGTTCAGCGATTGCAATGTATAAAGGATCTTGGCTTTTCTAATTCTGCTAATTTGTTGTTTTATTAATGTGAATACTGGTAATGGATATAATATGTCATGAATGAAATTTGGAAGTCTAGTGTGTCGTGATATTTGCAAATAAGGTATTTTAAATACTTATCTCTTTTGTTTGGAAAACATTTTGCTGTGCAAAAGGATGACCCAACAGTTCTAAAAAGACTTTTGTGGCCCACATATCTTAACAGCAGAAGTGTAAATTGGGCTTTTTCATTTAAAAGCCCAAAAAGGGATCCTCTGTTCATCGGTGGAGAATGAATGACCCAAGAGATGTGTCAACTTAGATTGGGCTCCACACCACAGGCTCAATAAATGGACCAATACAGACATGTGAAAGCCCAATACATTGAGCTGAGGCTCAAGTTGACCTACAATTTGACTCTTTACATTGAGATCTCGTAAATTTTTAACCCATTCGGAGTCCATTTACCTAATGAAATTTTCAGTGAAAGCTTTTGCTTGCAGTTGGTCCAACTATTTTTGGGCCCGTTACTGTGAGCTTATATTTCCTACTGTATATCTGCAATTATCTTCAGAGGGTGATAAGTATTGTATACACCCTTTAATAAATTTCCTAGTATATTGCAGTTGAGTTTGGTAAGGTTCATATTCAACTAAAAAAAAAAAATAATTGAATAAATTAGTGCAAAATTTGTAATATAAAAAAAATGCGTCTTTAATCACATTTTAGATTCATACTAATAAAAAAGACAAAAAAAAAAATAAAAAAAAATAAAGGACTTTAAAAATTACTACTCATAAAAGTAGTGTTGTAATTCAATTGAACGAAGCGAGCTTTTGTAGTTTGCACTAATTTTAGTTATGTTTGAACAATCTTCGCATTTATAACAATCAACACTTGAACAATCAACATTTATCGACTACGAGCGAACTTTTATTTGCGAAAGTTAGATTCATTAACAGCAGTATTTATTACAATGACTCGTATCCATCATCCTCCCCTGTAATGAATCTACGTCGTCTATGTTTCAAGAGAAAAAAGGGAACTTTCTTGAGAGGGGTACGTTTTCTCCATGCATGGAATGGACTAAAATATAAAAAAAGATTAATCGATATATCAGGTAAAAACTATTGCTTCAACTTCTCACGTACATCATTAAAAACAAACTAGTACTAATACAAAACATGAGTGTTGAGTTAATGAATAAATGTGTAAAGTTATTTATATTTTATATATTTAATACTAAACCTAACTCCAGAACAAAAATAATATACAAACAACATTACGAAGCATATATAGATTTTCGCCATGTCAGGATTCGAAGCGTGAGAATCGACCACCTAAACTCAACACGTTTTGAATTAATATATAGAGATGTTAACGCATGTATTGGCCACGTATTTAAAGTAATTAACTGTACAAAAAGTTTCACCGATCAGTAAAGAACAAAAGCATGATATATGAGACTTAACACACACACACGGTGACACACACACAAGATGCATAATAAAAATTGTGATGAAAAGAATGAAAAATAAGATTAGTTTTTAATAGTCTCAATCGTTATATAATCAGCGGCACATGCTACCGCAGGTCGTGGGCGGTTCATCAAAGATTTTTCCTTTTTATTATTATTTTTTTTTCGTTCAAGATTTTTTTTTATTTTTTATTTTTATTTTTTTTTCCTTGTAATGCTACGTATATCTTAGAGCATCTCTAACCATATTCTTTATCCATACAGTTTCTACAGTAAAATTTCACTAGTTTTACAGTTTCAACAGTGTCAGCAACTCCAATCCATTCCCTCTATAATTCCCTCTAAAAGAATATTCCAAGCATATTCTTTTCTAATTTTATTAGTTTATTAAATAATCTCTACAAATTACATTTTAATGCATTATGCTTGTTAAAATTTAAATTGGATTCTAACCGTTGAATTTAGGGCATATATGGTCTAGACCATATATGGTTTAGGGCATATAAGGCCATGTGATCATTATTCACATTTTGAAAAATGATTTAGGGCATATATGGTCTAGACCATATATATATGGTTTAGGGCATATATTTTAGCTCATTTTACTACTATTCACTCGGGAATTCGAGCTTCTCTAATTAAATGCTCGGAGCTTCGAAATACTCGACAAATGTCCCGCATGACATAGTGTCTGAATCATCTAGACGTCCCAACTCGATTCTCGGTAAAGCGAAGTCACACACGACCTTGCGGGACCACCGTAAACGGCTTTTTCATTTATTTTACTCATATGCACCCTCGAATTCGGGCTACTCAAAATAAATGATCGGGTCCTCGAAATAATAAATCGACGCCACAAATGTCTTCTCCTCTTCTCGTGTTTTCTCGAAAGTATTTTCGCTAATGCTCGGCTCGCTTATCGAGGGCCGACGGGACACCCGAAGTCGTGACATAAAATAAAGCTCAATTCCATATTTAACCAAAAAATAAATAAATAAAGAGCCAAGCGGGTGAATAGTGGAACGGTTGCCAAACCGTTCCACGAATTTTAGAGTGGCGTTTCCTTCAAATATACAGAGCCCATTGGAGATGCTTTTCCTCCATCTGTGCCGTTTCCTGCAGGTTTACAGAGCCCGTTGGAGATGCTCTTAGCTGTTGTTGTCATTAAAAAGAAATGGTGAAATTCCAATAAAAATATATTCAAATAATTTTCAAACGATAATTCTAATGGATATTTTTCAATGATATTATTTGCGTTGATATATTCCAATGGATTCCAACGAAAAATTCGACAAAAATATTTCGTTGGAATGAGTTGTCCAGTTGAATTTCTGTTGGATTTTGACAATTTCAACGGTAAATTTTTCAACGGAGGTGGAAATAATAATTCGAACAGAAATTGCATATTCCAACGGAAATTCCTATGCTAATGAAAAACACATTTTAACGGAATATTTTCGGAATTTGGAAGCTATACAATTGGAATATCTGTGAGAATTTTCATTAAAATATATTACCACAGAATTTTCCGCTTGAATATAACATTTTTTTTTTTTTTTGTAGTGTGTTCTATTGACATATTGATGAAGACAGAGGTCTTTTTGAAGAAATATGATCACATCCCTCCACCAAAATAAATTTTTTATTTACATAGTATTTATTTCTATTATTTATCTCTTTTATTGTTAGGATAATTTATATCTCTTAGTATTAAACTTGTTCATCAAGATAAGAGTTAGGAGGTCTTAGGAGTCTATATTTATGCTGTGAAACTGAATGTGTCGATCAGTGAAGAATAAGAAAAATTTTTATATGTTAAGAATTATCTATGTTCCCTCTTTCGGGCGCTTCCCTACGTCACATATCTCCAAAGATTGCTACTGATCACAAAATTACTATTATTAACTAGAAACTATGTTGTAGGATTATACTAAAGTCCCACATCTAGAGTTAGTATTTGTTAGAATTTAGAATTGGCATAATTCGAACAACTTTAGTGTATATCTGATCATAATTAACTTATTTATTAAGTTTTCTCGTGTTTTAATTGGTGAATAGTGAATTAGATTTAATCTTTATGTGCTTCTTTATTTGGTGTAGGAACACAATTGGAAGGGAAGTAGACGTGCCTTGGTGGCTTGGACGTGACATTGACACGAATGGAAAGAGAATACTGCGGATTTTGAGTAGCTGGAACAAGATTCGCTGAATCTCGCAATTAAGGAAAGTCGTGTTTTTACATGATTTCAAACCTTCCAATTTAAAGGTGATCATGGAGATCTCGAAGACTAAACAATCAAGCAGTTAAACTTGCCATCAATAAAGATTCTGAAGAGTGTAATACCAAAGAAGGACGCATATATATTCATAAATCATAAGTATTACCATTGTATTGTAACAGCTGAGAGGGAGTGCTCGTGACATTATGAGATTATGAGAGTTTTTGAGAACTTAGTTTTCATTTTATTTTTTAAATTTAGTCGAACTTTTAATTAGTTTGTGTTCTTACGGGCTAAAAGGTAGATATCTTCAATTTATCATTTTTCTACGACGCTATGAAGAAGTGTTTGTGTACATATGGAGGGATTCCTATAGGTTTATACGTTCACGTGTTGGCTAGAACAGTAGGTGGGAAAGTGAAGTGTAAGGACAATAATATTAGAAGGGAGTTCTAAGTTGTACAAAATATGATGAGTACAAATTTTTATTTGTCGGCCTATAATCACTAATAAGCGGATCAACTCATCATACTTTTATAATCAAATTACGGTACATAGAAATGTCATACTTTTATTTATGTTTTCTATTTTTAAAATATCACATTTTAGTTTGTTGATATTTTTCTTTAGAATATTACCTTGTAATGTGAAATTATGCAAATATATTTGTCAACAACAGCAAGAGGGTGCTGGATGATCATGTGCTGTAAGACTTGCATGTCCCCAACCTGCCCCAGATACAAACTAACTAGCTACACAATCATATAGAAATTTCCAACCAAAATAAATAAATAAATAAATAAATAAGGACTTGAACAATATAATATGTCAAAGTTGCTTAAAATGATGGTTGATTATTAGTTGTAACTTTTATAATTATTGTTGGTACTATTAATTTTGAATTAATGAATGTGATTCACAAAGCCCAAGATATTCCATCTATCATATATCCCTAAAAATTATGTACTCGAAGTTTCCATTCTATTTCTCTTTGCCCCACCCATTAGTGTTCTGTTAAAGAGTTGCACGTGCGTGCATGCTGTGGTTTGTTCTCGGAACTTGACAAATTTCTCCAAGTCAATTATTAATGGACCGTTAAATCAACTATTTGACGGGTAAATGATAATTCAACGATTACAAATTTTGACGAGATGGTTTCGTAATGAGACTGTAGTCTGTAGCATTTCCCATTATTAATGTACAAGCAGTTGACAACAAAGCATGGTGGCAGTTTTGTTATTTCTTCCAAATTGAGGGGCCATCTCACTTACAAAATTGCATATAAACCCCTTGCTAATTCTGATCCATCATCATTTATACGATCAATACTCGTCCTCTTCACACACACACACACACACACACTTTAAGTCTTTAACAACATGAATAAAATGAACATGTTCACAGTGCTTTTATTGGTTGCTAGTTTGAGCAATATTGCATTATGTTCAGCCGATGGTAAGCTTTTGATCAAGTCCTTACATTTTCTTCCTTTAATTAAATTGCATGTTTTTATTCCTTAGTCCTCACAAATTTTTTAACATGTACATAATTTTCCAATTTGGGAAAAATATTTATTTCCAGGGCTATTACCAAATGGCAACTTCGAGTACGGCCCAAAACCTTGGCAAATGAAAGGAACACGAGTAATCGACCCGCACGCAATACCCTTTTGGGAATTGTCCGGTTTTATCGAGTACATAAAATCGGGCCACAAGCAAGGCGACATGCTATTGGTCGTGCCGGAGGGGGCCTCTGCCGTACGATTAGGCGAGGAGGCCTCCATCAAGACCAAGGTTAAGGTCACAAGCGGCATATTTTATTCCATTTCGTTTAGTGCAGCTAGGACATGTGCCCAAGAGGAGAAGTTGAATGTGTCCGTTTGGCCCAGTAAGGAGCCCAATGACTGGGGAGTCCTGCCCATACAGACTGTTTACAGTAGCGATGGGTGGGATTCTTACTCTTGGGGCTTCTTGGCCCAGTCCAATGAGATCGAAATCAAGATACATAATCCTGGAAAAGAAAATGACCCAGCTTGCGGCCCAGTTATTGATTCTGTTGCTATCAAGGCCCTACGTGCATCTACGAGGACAAGAGGTAATTCCCTCTTTCAATTCTCATTCAATTTTTTATTTTTTTTATTATTATTTTTTTTTTGTGGCAAATCTTTAGTGGACTTAATTGAATCTATGCACTATTATGAAATGTACTCCTAAAATTTAGGGGATATTTGTTAATTTAAATTATTTGAAATATTTATTTTGTTCTAGTTGTGGCAAAAAAATGTCTAAAGTTGATCTTTCTTTCTTTTTTTTTTTTTGGTTGTTTTTCTCAAATAATGCAGGCAATATGTTGAAAAATGGTAACTTTGAAGAGGGTCCATACATCTTCCCTAACACAACTTGGGGAGTCCTAATTCCTCCCAACATTGAAGATCATCACTCCCCATTGCCCGGTTGGATTATTGAATCCCTCAAAGCCGTGAAGTACATCGATTCCGATCACTATTGGGTGCCTGAGGGCAAACGAGCGGTTGAATTAGTTGCCGGTAGAGAAAGTGTACTAGTACAGATCGTGAGAACCGTACCAGGAAAGCTTCACGAACTCATATTCAC